CTGGTCTGCTAATCCAGATCCAGTAGAAAGAATTTAGCTGTTTTTACAGTTGGAAACATGCAGATATTTGGACAATTTTGGTTGTATTTGTCCCTTTATTGTAGGCTTGAAAACGCATGGATCTGAGATTTACTGATTTTTTTGGCAGAAATGAAGGAGATGATGTAGCACTTTTAACTGAACAAACTCAAGTACTTTAAAGAAAAACTGAAAACTTTTATTTTTGGGGGGTTGGGAGGGTGACCTGAACTTACTAAAGAATCTCAACGTAAAGTTAGATCATACTAAAATTATTAAATTTATAATACATTCAACTCTTGATGTCAGTCTGAATAAAGAAGCACCACAGAACAGATGAACTTTGAAAAGTTGTGTCATTGGGCCATGTCTGTCTGTTCCACTGGTTTCTTATATAACTTGCTTGTTTTGGCTTCATACGCAGACACATGCAGACTGCTCTTTCACGAAGGCATTAAATGTAAACTCCATCAGCTGGAATTCTGATTTCTCGCTCTGTTAATATCAGTCTTTTTACCTGTGTGTCTCTACGCAGAGCATAATCAGGTATTAGTTGCGTCAGAGTCAGGTTTTCTGTGGTAAACACCCACATAAACGGGGGGGCAGACACAAGTGAAGAGCTGAGATGTTTTTGCCGCCATTCTTTGCATTGTTTGTCTTTCTATTTTTAAACTGCAGTCACTGGGCTTGTTAGAGGCTCAGATGTGCCGCTTTTTCCGTGTTCTGTTGTTTCAGAGCCTTTTAGTTTCTATTGGACTATTGCCTGAATCCTTCATACATGTGACTAATAGTGACCCACCAGTGGATAACAGTGCTCAGTGGTGGTGTGTAAGAGTCTGGGGCAATGAAACATGATATAGTCTTTTCTCAACAAGTATCCAGAGAGCATGGGGCAGGAGTTTTGAGAATGCACATGTTGAAGGTTGACTACTACTTTAAGTTGTGCAAACACTTTTTGGTTAAATCTAAAGTCAGAAACTGGTGATATTCACTGGAAAATCTTGCAGATAGAGGCTACCAAGAAGTGTAAACATAAACCCAATATTCATACTTTTGATCGGATAATTTTTGGGGGAGTTGAAGGCTGGGTCAATGTCTTGAAATGTGTTTTTTTCCATTCCCATTGAGATTTTGTGGTGTGTTTACTGACATCATTGCTGTTGGTTGGTTGGTCCACTCGGTTGTGGACGTGAATGGGGGCAGTTGCCGATCCAATCACACATTTTCCAAGTCTGCTTGGGCTCCAAGGCTGCCTCAAGGAGTATGGGTTGTTGGTAAACTCTAGTGCAATGTCTGCATAGACAAGTCTGATTGGTCATCTTGATAAAAATCGAACAATTTTATTAAGGTCGCCTGTCAGTATACAAATGAGAATGAAAGATGGCTACTTGCCACCAGCTTACTTTTTAACGTGAAAAGTGTGTTACTCTGCTCAGAGAAATGGGTAGATTTTAACATTTCTTTGAAAGCGTTTTGGTTTGTTCCTTCACTTCTTGTGTCATGATTGCAATGAAGATGATGAGGTTAATATAATGGGTAGTGTTAACAAGTGTTAATGAACAGATTTCAAGATTTTAGCATGTATTTAGAAGGAATTTAGTCAGGCAAAATCACACCTAGCTTCCCTTCTTCAGCCTTAATGCAACAACAGAATCAAGAAAGTCCCCTGAGCAGAAAGTTTGTCTGTCTGGTGACCCCCACCAGAAAGGTCAAGATCAAAGTAGGTCAAAACATCTGCTGAATGTGCATTCATTTCCCAGCTGATGCAAATATTACTGTAAAAGTCAAGCTGGATGGAAAACTAAATGGGATTTACTAATTTCAGAACAAGCAATCATCCATATGGCACTGTATCGCATCACATCCACGAGGCCTCTGTGTCAGCTGTAAAGCTGGATTTGCCAAAGAAATTACCAAGCAACAAGCTCAAACAAACAAATGTGGTGAAACTTTACAGAAGAGCTGCATGTCTTTTTAGGGAGATGTCTGGCTTTCGTGGAATGGATAAATTCTTACCTTGTCAGCCCATCCATGTTGCTATAATTGCTTTGCAATTTTACTGTCACATGTTCAGCACACCATCTTGCCTGGAAAGCAAACTCCTACAGGGCGCTGGAAGTCGAGAGGGGATCAGCGGGTTGAGTTTTCGTCATCAGGGTTATGTGAGACAAGGCTGGGTGTGTGGGTCAGGTGGATGTAAAAGAGATACTCTCGCTTCTCGTGGCCTAGGTGCCAAACTGAAGCATGATTGTGGGGAGGGAGAATTGGACTGAGCTGCAGATAAAGTGGAAGTTTAACTGATAAGTTCTGACTGTTTAATTTCTATGGCTGAACTAAAACAGTTTCTCTTTTTCAACACAAATACAGGGCGTTTTTGGATCGTAGCAGATTACAAATTTATACAGACAATTTGGATTATCATTTTGAGTCAATGCAAATGATCTGTGTTGGGTCGGACAGTGTAATAAAAGTAAATATAACAACGACTTGGTGGAGTCCATCTTTAATGCTGGTCAAGGATGAAAGAATAATGGAGATGACTGCAGACATGGCACTGATTGTGTTAGTAAGCAAAAAAATGAGGTTCTGGGCAGAAGATGGGCTGCAAAGTGGCTTGCAGAAGTGCAGCAACTGTAAACAACTTTTCTCCATATGAGATTTACCGGTTGCATGCATAGGATGGTATCAGTTAAATCACCTTAGTAGTCAAGTTTAGTTAGTTTAATGCTCTGTTTGTGAGACAGTGAAACTGTGAATGTGGAGTTAAAAGCTGTGCAAGGAAAGAAGAAAACCAACCTTGGTGAAGATCGTTTCCAGTATTAGCAGCTGCCAGCAAATGCTAATATGCAATACTTAGGCTGAATAAGCTTTTCCTAAAGACCTGCCAAGAATAGGGATAAATCTGGGATACGTCAGAAATACCACATTAAGTCACACCGTGCTGGAAGTAATTTTTTTCTTTTACAAATGTCCAGTCCCTTTATCAGCATGTGCTGGTAAATTTGTATCAAGTTGCACTCAGAAAGAAAGAACAAGCTCATATTATTAGTGACAGACTTTCAGCGTAAGTCATTGGAGGTAAACGTGGCCTTAAGCTGCCAAACGCTGCAGAGCCACTGGGCTACAGTAGTGATCCTACTTGTATTTGTTAAGCTTCCCCTTCCACACTGTTTACTGCATCAATCATTCACTGGAGTTAAATCAGACTCAGAAAAGAGTTAGGTTCTGTGTAAAATGTAACACAGTCTACAAAACTGTCAGTATTTTGATATGAAGCTAACATTTGTTGGTTAACTGGTGGAAACCTGTCTAGCTGCTGTAGTAACTTGAGCCCCATCACCATTTCCCACCAGCTGTTTCCACCAGGACAGCTGCAACCACAGGACATGTAGTTTCCATCCTCAGCTGGATAAAGTGGGATATTTAATATGAGGAACATGGTTGAGACATTTCCAGCTTTTACACTGACAATGACAGATTAATTTGGTCTGAACAACAGTAGAAATTTCTCTTAGTACACTATGGATTTATGTTTGAACTTGAAATGCTCTTGTTTATTTTAGGTTGGATAAACAATAACAACAATCTGGGAAATGAGTCAGTAGGCTAAATAGACAGCAGGAAAACAAAGGTAACAAGCTACAGGTGAATTTAATCAAACACTAAAGAGGACAGGGCAAATACCAAAGGAAGGAAGCAGACACAGAAAGAAATATGAAGACCTAACCTTTAAAATAAAACAAGAAGTAAACCAAAAAGGAGACCAGAATAAACTTTGACAACGACGAGACAAAGGTGCAGGGTAGACTGAGGCTTTCTTCTGCAGAGTGATCACATTTCATAGGTATATTTTAGTGTAAGAGACTGCTCACACTGAGTTTGAGATTTTTGTAATAACTGGGTCCAGATTTATGCTTTTCTTTCTGCAAATTTTTGCTATTTATTTCCATCATATTCACGAGAAGATAGTAGGCTAAACAGCTCTAGAAGTAGTATTTTGCTTCCTGTTTGAGGTCGTGAGAAAGCACATCAATCTGATTTAAGTCCAGATCTTGACTAGGCCATTACAAAATCTTTTTCTTTGTTCTTTGAGCCATTCAGAGGTGACCTTTCCAGAATCACTGTCCTGGTGATAGATGTTTCTGGTGTTACATTATACACTAGTAGATGCTCATTTATCACATTTTAGCTTTACTAATATTACGTTGCATTACAGCCTGGGGAACTGAAAGTAGCTAAGAGAGGAAAGATGACTTTAGCTGCCTCATACTCATATCTATTTATCACACATGACCTACACACGAGCCACACCTGTGCCTTTCATAGCTGTTTTATATCTGACAAGAACACGAGAGGCTGATAGTGGAGCTTAAATAGGAGGTGATGTTCGGGAACTCCCATCCTGGAGCGGAAAGTTTTATAAATCATCAGGTGGCCCAGAATTCCCAGCAGTGCCACAGCATGGAAACCAGTTTCACATCCCTATTCCCATCCCACACCTGTCTGCACAGTCATCGTGCCAATGTTATTGTAGGCTTCCTAATTTAAACAATGGCATTTGCATTGGAGTGGCTTTTTACTTGGACTAAAATTTATTAATGACCCTCAACGAAGCAGAATTTCAAGCCTCTGACAGCAATGTAATCCCCTTCTTAGTTTGTCAAATGCTGGTCCTATTTTAATGCGGAGTCACCGTAAAGTGTGTCAGCATGATCTAGTCCAGTCAATTTATTGGAGGGACTATGAAAACAGACTAAAGCAAGAAATGCAACAGAACTAGAAAACTTAAAAAACACAGAACTCTGGGCAACAGACTCACGACCACGACAATTTTAGCCTTTCATGTCTAAATTATGGAGGCTATTAGAGTAGCAGCATCATTAGACCTCCAAATTTACATTTTAGAGGCCCATTGTTTCAAGCACAGTCAGGAGTGTTATCTTCAATTTAATTAACATTCCTCTGTCTTTGTCTCTTTATAGCTGGGAGATCATTGATTCAGGCCAGGACAGCCGGACTGGGGTTGGACCTCAGCTTACTGACTCCCTCAGACTCTTCCTGCAAGAGACATCAGCTTTCAAAAAGCAAAACCCAGGCAAGGTGAGGCAGAGACGACATACCTGATGTATGTCATGAACAAAGCATATATGTATACTGTATATATATATATTTAGTATAACAATTAGTTAATAAATTATTGAAATCTGTATAAAACAATTCTACCATTCAGCATTGTTGGAAAATACCTGTTTGCTTTATAACTTCACTGTCTGTAATTTGTGTCTGAAGCTGAAGCTTGGAGGGATTTTGCATATCTGTAAAACCAGAAATACTAAAACAGTTTATTGTTGAGGGGGAGTTTAGTTTGTAACTGACAGCAAAAAGTTCTTTGTTTTTGCCTCTCTGTTTTAGTTTTGCCTGCTGGTTTGCAGTGTGTGCACTTTCTTTGCTGTCTTAGGACGCTACATTCCAGGGATCGTTATCTCGTATATTCTAGGTGAGTCCTCAAAGATTTGCTCAACAAAAGCTCAAGTTATCAACTGAAAAACCCATTTGAATCACATTTTTTGTCTGGTTTCCGAGAGGTAACCCTTGTGTTGTCCTCGGGCCAAAAATGGTCCATAGTTGAATAGCAAACAAGTAGATGGGAATCCCAAGGACAGCACAAGTTAAACAGCACATATGATGAATATCGCATGCTGAATTTGAGCTTGCTGTACACATTTTATTCTGCAAAATAAGCTGACATTGTTATGTTTCTCTGTGAAGTGCTGGGTGTCTTTCTGTGGCCTCTGATTTCATCTCATGACATCAGCTCGTGGCTGGAGCCAGTTCTGCAGAAGCTGGACTTTGGCATCGGCGAGTTTTTTCAGAAAATCAAAGAGAACCACGGTAAATATCATGCAATTTGTTTTTACTCATTATCCAAACAAGGACATGAGATCAGGAAGTGACTCACCATGTGTTTTTTTTTAAGACAACTACCTGCCAAACTGCTGCAAACCTATATGACCTTTATTTTTCTATTATGTAGACCTAACCAGAACAAATCTTTAAAAACTTTAACTGAAGTTTTGTTGCAACTCGTAAAAGTCTCCTTTGGCATATGCAATATGAGCCATATATCTCAACAACACATAACAAGCATAATGTAAGGGTCTGTTGTTTCTGCTCTGCAGTTCATTAAGACTGTTTTTTCATTTGACCCAAAGTTAAGTGTGCAGGTAAATTGACATTAAGGTCACGGCTTGACCTAGATTTGACATTATTTTGAAATGGTACATAGCATGTAGGAACTATTGTAGAAATGTACACTGAATGTGGAGTAGATTTTTTATAAGAATGCTTATTTAAATAGCGAATAAACATTAAAAAGATTTGTTATCATGTAAAAATCAGTTTACCTTTTTTATCCAGTATTTTGCCAGAGAACTAAATCAGTCTTATCCATATTTTTCTTTTTTTTTTCTTTTAGAAAAGCGACTCCTGCAGGCTCAGAATGAGAAAGAAGGCATTGAGTCAGACCTCTCCTCTATGTTTCCAAAGGTTGGCTAATCATCTTCTCATCTTAATGTAATTATGCCTCTGTTGACTGATAGCATCCAGTTAAAGCTAGTAAAATTCAATACACATGATCCACATCACCATCAGCATGGGACAAATTCAATGGCAAGAAATGCTTTAACGTTTTTCTCCTCATGCCAAACACTGAGCTGCTGGTTGAATTCACTGAGTGCACTTCCCTGTCACGCTCACTATTAGAGCGTTCAAATCACTGTGCAAATATAATGAATGCAATGCAGAAAGAATGTGTTGTATGCCTTGTAAGCCTCAAGTGACTTCAGGATTCTGCAGTTTCATGCACTTAGTTGTTATGCGGCTTCATCTTTTAGTCCCGGATGTCACCACTTTGTCTGAGTCAACCAATTACCAGCTCAGATCTGGGTTTGCACTATAAAATCTGACGTCTGCGTGTGTCTCTCTCCCCCAGCTCGACTCCACAGTGTGTAAAGAGATGTCTGTCTCGGACACAGAGGTGTCAGATGTCACATGGACAGACAATGGTACTTTCAACCTGTCAGAGGGACACACACCACAGACTGAGAACTCAGAGGGTAAGTTTCATTTGACGCTCTTCTGACTGACGCCGAGAGCTACTTTGTGTCTCACATATTTAGGTAACTGGTGTTTCTTCCTTTTTGTGTCGGGGCCACTTTGATCAGACTTTGACAGAGAAGAACCGTTCATTGGTGGCCTACCTGAATTCCCTTCACTTGATAATGGCATGACCACCAATGGCGACGACGACGACGACCTCAGCCTCGGCCTTGCTTCACCTCCAACTCGGCTCCAGGATCCAATCAAATCCAAGCACGAACCTCAAGACCAGTCCACCAATGCCCTCGATTTGGTCAACCAGATGGCAGGTGAAGTTATCACCACTGCAGTCACAGCTGCCATCCAGGAGAGAATAGAAGCAGCAGTCAGCTTCATGACGCCAACTGAAGACCCCAAGTGGGCGGGACTCACAGAATCGAGCAGGCTGCTGGAGCTGACCGAGGAGTCGGACAGCGAGGTGGAGGACTTTGAGCTGCTGGACCAGTCAGAGTTGGAGCAATTGGAGGGGGAGCTTGGCCTCGGAGAGAAGGCCAAAGCCAAAGAAGAGGTGCAGACCGACAGTCCCGCCTCTTCTGGCTTCTTGTCCAAACTCCTTAAACGCCACTGACGGATGAAAAGTTTGAAAGCAGATGGTGAGGTGTGGTTTCCAGAGGACATGTGGAGGGGAGGCAACTTTATAGAGCTGTGAGAACACAGAGTTTCAATTTAGCTTCTTCCTGTTAAGCAAACATCTACAGAAATGATCAGATAGTGCTGTCTTTTTTTTTAATCGAACCAGAGTAGCCCAAAGCTGAGACCACACCATATACCCTAATAATGGCTGACCAAACTGAGGCCTCTAAGATGATTTCAGTAACTAATGAAAGATCCAGGCTCATCTGAAAACAGGCGTATGGATTTTTTAAATTTATACTTTTATTATTTGCTATCAGTCAGGTGGAGGCTGGTCACTCACGTTTATAAGGCTTTATATGACTTTCAAATTAACACTGAATTGACTTAGGCGTAGTTTTTAGGTTACAGTGTCGCTATGTGGCAAGTGTGCAAAACTAGTGTAGTACAAACTAATACAGTACAAATGCTGACTTCCCATAAGACTCAAATCTTGTGACATACTACTCCACTACTACTCCTTGGGTTGGTCCTTCACATAGAGCTGAGAGAAATTAGACATTTAATTACGCCTATGAGTCAAGTCACAGCAAGGATTAAGTCGGCTTTATTTAAAGAAGCATGAAATGCTACACAAATAAAGGCTAATCTACACTATTGAGCCCTGCTCTAAAAACAGACATAGATGTAAAACTGTCTGTGAAGCAGGATTTAAGAAACAAGTGCTTAAAGTTAAAGTTTTAAAAACATGTTTGGCGCCATCTTCTGTCAGTACAGAACATGACGTTATGTGGTTAGTTCGTTACTAATAGACTTATATTAGTTTATATTAGCTAACTTGTGACAGAATCGATAGCTCAGAGGAAAAGTAATGATACTAAAACTAAAAATCATTCTAACGAGATCACTTCTTTGCTGCCCCTGACTGCAACAATGAGTTTTATGTTAACAAACTGAGGATATACTGTCCACTTTCACTGTGTGTCTCTTTTGCAGGAAGTGGCTGGCTGCTGTTTGGCTAGCTGCACCAAACAGGAAAATTAATCTGTTAGTCGTAATGTTTGGATTTGTAAAGCACTTTGTAAATGAGGACTGTGTGGAGCAGAGCCTGTTCCTCACCAGGTCGGGTGTACTGAGCCATGACATCAGCTTGCAAAGCAGATATTGGCAAGATGCCATCAGCACTATTTTATGCAACACAAAAAATTTCTCTCTTTAACGAAACACAACCAGTTTACTACATAACAGGTTACTACATGAGTATCAGACCAAAAACATAACAGGTATTTATTTTTTTTTACCAAAGGGTATTAGAAACCCTAACACTCATCAGCATGTCCACAGGAAAAATGGGCCATTATGTTGTAAAGTGTCTGGATGTGCTCAAGAAGAGAAAGATTATCTTATGACATAAAAAGTGCTGAATGCATCAGCTGATTGCGCTGCTCAGTAAACTTGGCCAGAGGAGGAAAAACCAGTTTATGTCAGCCCGGTGAAAGCACCTGTCACCTGTCTCAAACAGGCTCTCCTCCACACAGTCCTCATTTAGAAAGTGCTTTACAAACTTGAACATTAACAGGTGGATTTTCCTGTCTGAGTGCAGCTAGCCAAACAGCGACCAGCCACGTCCTGCTAAAGAGACATACAGTGAAAGTGGACAGTATATTCTTGGTTTTAACATGAAGCTCATTGTTGTAGTCAGAGGCAGCATAGAAGTGATCCTCTTAGATTGATTTTTAGTTTTAGTATCATTACTTTTCCTCTGAGTTATCGATTCTGTCCCTAGTTAGCTAACATAAACTAATTTAAGTCTATTGGCCGCAATCAACCAACCGATCACATGACGTCACGTTCTGCACTGACAGAAGATGGAGCTAAACATGTTTTTAAAACTATAACTTCCAGCAAAATTCAAGGATAATTTTACATCTATGTCTGTTTTTGAGAACAAGGCTCAATAGTATAAATTAGCCTTTTCGTGTGTAGCATTTCAGGTTCCCTTTAAACACAAAGATATTGTGTGGTGTGGTCCCAGCATGACAGGCAGGTGACTGGTTGATGACAAATCTCCTGCTCTTGATTTTTCATCAGTTGTGGCTTTTTAAAACAGCTGAATGGTATATGAGGTCAAAATTTAGGATTGATGAGCATCATATAAACACTTAATATTTCATTCATCACCTGCTGTTATTTAGTTCTAAGCAAATAACGATATTTTTGTGTTTATTTATGTATTTGTGAAATTCTTTTATGCCTGTAAATCATTTTGTATTGTTGCATAACAAATAAAGGAGTGATTATTCACAAAATACAACAAACGTCATATTAAGATTTATACCTTTTTATAAACCATCTCGAGGTCTATGCAGTTAAATCCTCTCAGACACATTTTGGGGCCTTATGGGGAAAGGAGGTCATTAGTTTAAATTGTGAATTTCTTTTTAATATTTTATGTTTTGATCACACTTTAACACTAATATTTATTGTCTTTTTATGCACATTAAATATCTTTACATATGCATACAGCTAAATTACAGTGTGTGATTAAAAGCATTTAATAAATACATATCTGCAAGTGCTAAAAGTAGTCGCATTAGAGTTCCCCAGACTTTGAAACAAGATTCAAAGTTGGGACTTAAAAGGTAATCTAAGTATAAAAATTCACTTTTTAAATTGTAGTTTAGGAGTAAATGTTAACTGAACACAGGTGTTATTGTAGCAAAGACTGTATTTTACCAGTGAGTTTGTATAGTGGGCAGGAAAACTTCCTATCACCTGCTGTTAGTATCATAACTGACAGGATTTAGTTGCTTCCAGGACAGGCTCCAGGATCCCAGGCTGGATATCTGGGAAGAAAAGGACGAATAGATTTGGTTGAAAAACCACTGCTGCTGCTACTCAGCTCATAACACATGAATCAAACTTCAGTGCTGAAACAATTCTTCCAACTACATTACCCACAATTCCATCGAATCAGTTGACAATCACAAGGGAACCAAATAATCTTTAATATGTAGTTTATTATTAAAATTTGGATTTGAATTTTATCTGTACCTGCTTTACCTTTATGTTTCATGCATATGTTATCACAACTTGCAGAAGGTATCAAAATTACTGTCTCAGCTTTAGACATGAAGATATTTAATCTGAAAACTGAGTGTATGTTTAATTTGTCACAGTAGGGGAAGCACAGGGAGAATTAATGATGGCTTCACTCATCTTAGAGGAGGTCCCGTATGTGGTCATGCTGATTCACAGTCACAGCTTTCTCTGACACTTAGGGCTTTTCTCATTTCTCTAATTAGGATCACTGAGTCATCATGAGGGAAATTGCAATTTCAAAAATGTATCTAATAGACAGAGAAAGAGTCTATCCTACATTGTTTATGTACTAAAGAGGCAACACAGCATGAATATACAAACCACAGTGTGAGGAGCACCTCTTAGTCTTGTGAGATTTTTTGTAAGACGATTGGTTGCAGTATTCAAACTTTCTGTCCCTCACCGTTAATGTGTGATAAATAAAAAGATCAAAAAACTCAAGTGCGTGTTTAAATTTCATTAAAAGTAGGCCTAAATAAAACAGTTTTCATGAACACTATGTATTTATTTGACATCTGAGATCAGAAAATGCGACAGACTGTAACAAAATGATAAACAGTCAGTGGAGCTGTGACAACAAAGTGAAGATGTTTTATTTTGTTACCTTTTTTTAAATTCCTCTTTCCTTGTGCTGCTTCCTTGTTTCCTTCTCTCTGGTGGGAAAGACCCAAATTACAAGGAGAGGAACTGACGATATGCATGACAAAAATAATTGAGTGTAACTGAACCATCATTAATATATCAGTGATTTTCCTTCTGTGAGAACTGAAAGGTGGTTCATCAAATAGACTGTTTCAATAATTTCAAAAAAATAGAAACACAAAAAACTAGAACAATGTCCACCCTGACTCTAATACATTTTATTTTGATTTTGTCAGTAATAGGGGTGGCAAAAACGATCAAAGTCCAAGACCCACAGACAAAACCAAGGTAAAACCAACCAACCAATTAGGTTAAAACTCCATGAAAGCTGCAGAATCTAAACTCTTGGGACCAAACAGAGAAATGACAAACTGACTCTCTGCCAAAGGACAAACGGAAACTGGCGCAATATATTACATACACAGCTAACGAGAAAGGAAAGGAAACACTTGGGAAACAAGAACATCTGAAATTAATCAAGAACAAAGCGACAAAGGAAGCTTGTCTTGTGTCAAATGCAAGACACAAGAAACAACTGTGTATCAAATTAAAACAGGATGTAACAAATGGGAGAGAGACAAATTCTTAACAAGAAACAAAAGTAGACTGAGGAGGCTCTACTAAACTGCACCCCAAACAAGTAAATACAAGCCAGTGCTCAAAATGTAAAGAGAACCCAGGATACAAAAGTAAGCAGAACTAAAGACTAAAAGTCCAAATGATAATCTAAAATAAAAAACTCAAAGTACCATCAACTTTACAAAGCGAAATGTTGCCATGTTTGTATGTCTGAATAAGTTGAACAATTTCAGGATATATGAAGATGCATCTAAAATGCATGCTGGCTGCAGGATGACTCAGGTGTCAGTGTTTCAAACTTAAACCAAATAAAGCTGTATTAAACAGCTTCACCACTAGAGGGTAGAAATTAACCAATACAGCCTCAAAGCTTTGACCACAGAATGTGATGAGTTCCATAGTCAGAGGAGCACAGGGTTTGCTTTAGACAGTTTTTCATTACTAATGGGAAAAACTAAATAGTGGAGCAGTGTTGGTTACATGTGTGGGCAGCAAAAAGAAACAACATTGAGCACCCCCAGACCTTTGCTCAGTTTAAGCTGCTTTCGCTTACAAGTTTTTGCTCAAACTGAAAAAAGCTTTTATCTTTTTAGGTTAGTTAGTTAGAGTCATCTCAAGGCATTTAATAAGTCTAATATCTCTATTAGAGGAACACTCCCCATGATTCAACAG